CGGATCAACTCCAATCCAACTTCTGTGTTTGTGTTTGTTTCAGAGAGAATGAGTGAGAGAGGGAAGGGGTAGGAGAGATACTCCAATCCAACTTCTGTGTTTGTGTTTGTTTCAGAGAGAATGAGTGAGAGAGGGAAGGGGTAGGAGAGATACTCCAATCCAACTTCTGTGTTTGTGTTTGTTTCAGAGAGAATGAGTGAGAGAGGGAAGGGGTAGGAGAGATAGTCCAATCCAACTTCTCTGTGTTCGTATGTCTGTTTGAGAGAGGGGAGGGAGGGAGGGAGGAGGGAGGGAGAGGGAGAAAAAAAAGAATGAAGGAAACTTTTTTGCAAAGGAGAAAAACAAATGCTGTCACTTTAAATCGGAACTGAGCATGCCTGACTGTGGAATTCTGGGAGTTGAAGTCCACAAGTCTAAAAAAATTTGAAACCCACCTCTGTGTCAGTGTCTCACCAGCCATAAACCTCACCACATGTCACTGACCTAGAGATATACTTTTGTGTTTGCATTTGGGTCATGATGCATTTTAAAATGTTGCAATTGTCTTGTAAAGATCCAACAACCCTGTGTTGGAGGAAGTATACAAATCCACCAAATTATGAATAAAATCTCAGAATCTCATGCTAAAACTCTTCATTCTTTTTGAAAGACAGGAAGGCTATATCACATCGCAATAATCCCAGGATAAATTAGTTCTTCCAAAATAGTAAACCCCAAGGAAATTTCCATTTCTATGTGGCAACTTTAAAATTTGTGCAATTGAGTCAACTCTGCTATGCCTAATAATGATACAATTGAATTCCATTATGGATAAAATGCTCTATGTGTGTGTGGGTGGGTGGATGGATGGATGGACGGACGGACGGACAGAGACAGACAGTAAGTCAGTCAGTTTTTGCTTTAAGTCTGATTCTCATGAAAACATTAGGCATCACCTCTCTTGATTAGTTAAACAACACCTCCCCCTCTTGGACACACATGGTATTAATTTGCTTGCTTTATAAGAGAAGAGGAAGGTTAGATTTTAGCATTGCAATTTAAGGGTGCCGTTAATTAATTACTGCATGTATGTACTATTTAATTCATGGATAAATGCACACATTTACACAGGTACCAGGTAGACATCCTAAGGTTGCTCTGTCACCATTCCAAAGCTGGGGCATAACACAGCAAGAGAAACCCTCTGCTGTCCATAGATATTTAATGAGCTGGTGGAGATTCTGCAGAAGAGATTTGATGCAGACCCCTTTTGCCATTTGTCAGAGTTCAGCATCTGCCTAATGACCTGCTGATATTTTCTGCTGATCCTGTCTTTGTGGCAAAGGGCTAATGAGAAGAGGACTCAAACAGACTATCAATGAAGGCAGACCTGTGTAAATGCACCCCCCTTCAGGGTGGATGAAGGTTAGCTCTTGTTACTCCCAGCATTTTCAAATAGGAGCCGCCTGCACACAAATCCAGCCTTTTTGGTAGTTTGAGGTGAGCTGATGCACATTTTGGATATGATGGCCTTGCTTTATGCAAGGCAGCAGAGAGCCAGTCAAAAGGAGGCTCTTCCGGCTAATTTATTTCAAAGGGAGAGCTAGAACACTTTGAACTTTTGTGTCAGCACCTTTCACTCAGGAACATCAAAGCCTCTTGCAAGGCAATTAGTTAATGAGTTGGTCAGCCTTTAGGAAGCAAAGGAATGAGGCTGCCAGCCAGCAGGGGGGAAATATGGAAACTGATTGGTCTAAGAGGGCTATTCTCCTTGACTGAGTGATTTACGATGTGAGGCTGTCCATTTCAATGCTATTGAAAAGAAATCGTCTCTGAATTTCACTGAACTTAAAAGTGGTGTAAATATGCACAGGGAAAACTTTTAAAAATGAAAACTACTCTTCTTCTTTGAATCTTACTTGATTCTATACTTTGGGATTCCTCCTGCTACTTGGGAGAGATCAAAGTGAAATATAAAGAAATATTTGAAAGCACAAAAGATTATCAAGAGTTTCAATTTTTTCTTAAGACTATGGAATAGAATTCTTTATTGGCCAAGTGTGATTGGACACACAAGGAATTTGTCTTTGGTGTGTATTCTCTCAGTATACATAGAGAGACAAGATACATTTGTCAAGAATCATAAGGTACAACAATTAATGATGGTCATAGGGTATAATAAACAATCAGGAAACAGTATCAATATAAATTGTAAGGATATGTTGGAAGAAATGTCCTTCTGGGTTGAGTTCCAAGTGGGGAAAACGACACTGGAAACATGGAAGCTGCTTAGAAAGATGGTTTAATG